GGTAAATGACTTTATCCAGTCCAGTGATTTTGTAAGGACGTGGAGCCAGGATTTATGCTGAGCCCAGCAAAAAGGAAGAATGGCAATGGAATGATAAAGAAAACGGTAGAAGAAAAAAAAAAGATTCATTAGAGTTCTTCCGTCCACCACCTCAGTGACCTTGTCTTATGCAAAGCAATGACTCATCCTCTATGAGTGTGTAGCATGTCAACTGCCTGACACATACTATAGGAGGATTTTTGTGAGTGAACAAATGGCAGCATATTATATCTAATATTAAACAACTGCGGCTTTCAGAAAATCCAATCATACCTCGGCATCTGTGCCTCAGATCACTTTTTAAAATGTCTCCATCTTTCCTCCACGGGAACGCTGCCACCCTGATGTAATGTGATAGTATGTAATGCCGCACAGCTCATCACCCTCTGATTGAATAGCAGTGTTGCAGAATGAGATTTCAATGAAGACCCAAAGGGTGCATTTGTATGCTGCAACACTATTTAAGCAAATGTTGATGTAGCCAGATGGGATCTGAACCCTGACAGTCATAAGTTGAAAATGTGATGTACTGTATGGAGATGAGTTTTATGGTTTGCTGTCTGCTGATTATTGATTGGATTTCCACTGTGCTGTCAGACGAAAACCGGTTTGGTTCAGGGAGAGGGGAAAATAATGACTGTTTTATGAGGGAAATTTTATTAAACAGTCAAATCTGTTTTGGTATAAACGCCACATCAGACTCTGAGATAAGCTCTCAGTACTTGTCTATTAGTACACTAATAGGGAGTTTGAGCTGTTGTTGTTTTTTTTCTTCATAAACTATATGAACATTTTTGTGCGTCTGAAATTGACCACCGTAACAAAGAATCATTTTGTTTGTCTTTTGTTTTCAATAAAATACAGTGAAATGTATGCACTAGTTAAATGTATAATACATATTAAATACACCATACAATCAGACACTGATGATCATTATTATCAGGTCACAGACTGTAGATTTTTATAGTTTTATGTTTTTCCCTGCAGCCTTTTTGCTGCTTACATTTTGTACATTCATTTCCAAACATCTCATGTCTGTAAAACTGGATACTTTACTTTCTCAGCAAAGATGTATTGATTAGGAAGAGGTTTTTCTTGCATCATGAAAGCATGAAATCAGGAAGTGTCATGAAGGTCAGGTGTTATTGAACTGCCTCAACACTGCACAGATGCACCTGGTTTTCTGTGTGAGATCGTGATTTTAAAAATCACAATCTCCAAACATAAACACCCATACAGCACAGCAACTGCATATAAAAGAAAATCTGTCGGATTGGACATCTCAAAAAAGTCTCTCAAACAAAAACTCAGTGGAGTTGTTTGTTGATCCATAAAGAAGAAACAGTCGGCATCGTGTGGAAGAGCAATATGGAAATATACTGATGATGTCACAGTAGGTCAAACCCCCTCGCACTTACATTTATTTCTTTCAGCCTGATGACAGATTCATTTTTTGAATCATATAATTTGGCACTCCTGAATAGGTTTTTAAAAATATACTCTGTAAATGTTGGACGTTTACTGGCTGTGCTGTGATTATGACAAAGTCACAGGTCACACAGAGATGTGTTTACTTCTTACCTACAGTATAGACATGTAATAAGAGGCAGGTTTGGACTGCAGGCAGGCCAGCACAGCACATTTTCTAGTTACAGTGTCACACTATTGGAGTTGTGGCAGAATAAACACTGACGTTACAGTACAGCGTCATTCACCAAAGACACCTCTTGGAGAGGGAGGTGATCTTTGAGAGTCTGAATGAGTTTTTTTGTTTTATAGATAGTAAGAACTTTATTAATCCCTCAGGAGTTCCCTTAGGGAAATTAATTAGAACCTTAAATTCTAATTACATTATTAACTGTTGTGGCCTCGACGTGTGAACTGTTTAGTTTCAGACCTAAGCCTTCACAGCTGAACTTGTTTCTGACTCATTTCTTTTTAAAAAAAAAAACTCTCCGTCCACAGCTGTTGAAAATGAGGTGCTTGGTTTTAATTACACCATCCCAGGCTAGACTGTCCTGTCAAGGACAGCACGGAAGTAAAAATGCAAATCAGCCCATCAATAACCTAATAAGAATTTAATCCAGCAAATTTACGAGCCCTTGTGATATGTGTGTGGGAACAACAATAGGAAAGAAAATCAATTAAAATGGTAATTAAACGCAGACAACACGCTGTGGACGTAGGAAGTCGACAGAACCAGAATTATTATATCTTTAACCACAACACTGTCAAAAAACTTTTGAATAATTATTACTTCATATATAAAGTGTTGTGGCTTTTGGGAATTTCGCACATCAGCGTTATTCCATAAATAAAAGACACTCTGGTGCATACTGTCCAACCAGATTTAATTTATGTTGTCCATAAATGATCAGGGCATCACTGTGGCTTCTACTTTATTATGGCTCAACTTGAAAAAAAAAAACTTTTTTTATTGCTCTGCCATTTAGATGACACATTTTAATTGTTCATTCAGTCTCATTCCCATTCATTTCTTCCACATCATCTTCCCCAAGTCTAGTAATTAGCTGCAAATATAAAGTATATGTGAGGCGATCTTTCTTACACAAGGGTCCGTTGGCTGAAAAAACAAAAAAAAGAAAGAAAGAAAAATAGCAAACTAAGCAGTCTGAATATTTTATGCTGTCCTTCAGGCTACAGATGATCAAAGTAGTCATATCATCTGACCCATTAGCTCACAGAGAACAGCATCTGCTCTGACAAGCTGTCTGTCAGGTCCTGAATGTCATCATGCGACCACAGCACCACCCACTGCTACACAGCGTCACACTACTGTTGGGTTAGGGTTCATCTATATTGACTGTAAATGCAACAAAATGAGTAAAAAAAAAAATCAATAATGTGACATGGATCTACCCTGGTACATACAACTAGTTATTTTTTGGGTTATGGTTGACTTATTAACCACCATAATATGGAAATGCACTTTTCAGTTGCATCATTTATGGCCTTCACATCACATACGTACCCTGCTGCCCTTCTGTGGCTACACAGTGTGCTTACATAGGCAGTTGCTCTAAGCCAACAATGCGTGTCCACTCCTGTGTCTTGAAGCACAGCGATCCTATTACAGTATGAGCGTGGCTCGCTGTCTTTTCTACCTGTTTTCAAGGAGGTGCTGTTTAATAAAAGTGTGTTGGAGTGAAACTACAGTCACGGGTCAAATGAAAGTTCATTATTATTTAAATACCACACTTTAATTTCTCACTAGTTGTGTGAAGCCTCACTGTATTTAAAAAATTGCCTCGGTGTGAAATGAATCATCCATCAATGTCAGAAAAAAAATGAGTTTGAATCTGATCATAAGGGACTGACAACCGAAGAAAAGACGTCAGTAAATGGCTTTTTTTCTCATTACATCTTGGTGATAAAATATTATTGATTTAAGATGAGAGTTATTTGACATTTACAGATAAACCATTCAGGAGTGTTTCAAAAGAATGCTGAAGAAATCCAGAAGCACTTCGTCACCGTGGTGTCATTAAAGCCAAAACTACATACTTAGTTAGGTTAGGAGAACTCTTACAGAACAGGTTTTTTGTACGTCTCCTTTCTCAGTTCCTCTCAAAGCTTTTCTGGCTGCTGGAATGATAGAGGTTTTCTCTGTCATGCTTCATCAAAAGTCTGCTGTCAGGTCAGCTTTTCTCCACCAACAACTTACATAAATCCTGGCTCACTCTGATGGGTTTCTCTCTGCTCCATATAACAAGAGAGCCAAGGTCAATCTACCATTAAAAAAAAAGCAGGTTCAAACATGCCACACACTTGCACCGCAGTGATCCTAGCAAATGATATCATTATTCAGGCCATTCATAAATGTACTTGCATTTAAGACCATCGAGCCGCGTGGCACTTTGATGAGCTTCTCATTACAATTTACAACATGCATTAACTTTACTATCAAAGTGTGATCAAATTGGATCACAACTGTCAACACGATCTTCCTACACCAGCAAAACAATAATAACAATAATAATAATAATTATAATAAGACCTAATTACAGGAGCATTTCAACCATATATAGTAGTATAGCTCTATAGGGGAAGATGACTGACGATAGTGTTCATTAATTGTATTTACTCTTACCATCATTTATCTGAATGGAGGGAGTAAGCATGAACAAAATCAATACAAATAAAGCCTGAAAAACTATTCAGTAATCCATTCCCGTTCCCATTGATTATGATGATTATAAACCAAATAATTGTCAAAACAATCACATCTTTAATGGGCAATAAAGTCCAGTTTTGTGTCACTTTGCCGTAATGACAGTGGGGTCAGGGTCGTGGCCCTTCAGAGAGGAGGTTTACTTGGGGTTTTCAAGAATACTAATGACTCTTCAGCACCCACCTTCAGCCCTTCTAGTTACTCTCCAACTTTAATTGCTGGAGTGCATGACCTCATAATGGATGCACATGAGATTATAGGCTTAACACAGAACTGTAAAGTATCTGTTTGTTACGGGGAAGGTCATTAGTCTCACATCTTTTGATGATGATGCCACAAGTAGGGCTCATTAACAACGGTCCCAGGAGTCATAGCGGCAGAAAAGAATCCTTTTGTCTGAGGTCACAGTCTCCTGTCTTGAGAATAAAAACATCCTAAGGGAAAATTATTTTTTGCTAATGGATTCGTTTGTTTGTGTACTTTCTAGTTCCTACACTTTCAGGTTTTTTTTTTATTTCTTCAAAGTTGGCAGACAGGTGACTCAGGAGATTAAAATGTAACTCTTTTCATTCACAGGTCATTGGGTCTATGATTTTAATTGAAATTATGATTAGTTTCTAACAAATAATGCTTATCCAAACAATTATGTAAAAGATATATATTGTATTTAAAAAGAATACTTCGGCACCATTTAAAGGAATTTTAGAATTTGATACAACTGTCCTCATTTTTTCAACAGACTGTGGCCTAAGCCTTCATGGTAAGAAGATAATGAGCAACCAGGGGTAAAGTTCTGACAATCAGCGAGGAAAGGATGCAGAACTTTTAGTTTAAAGACAACCTTCTCAACCCAACGAACCTCAGCGTTTTAGCACTAAATTCAATGTTTTATTTAATTAACAATAAATATATATAAGTAGGTATTATTATATTAAATGATAAAATGAAAACTGATTCCTACAACCTCCCATACAGATCGCTAATCTGGTTAAGTAATTAATTGTTGATGTTTTTAATAGTAACGAAGCGGAACAATATTTGTTCTTTGATTAATGTTAACAAATGGTAATTTTTGAGCAAACTGGACAGATTTATACGTAGAATATAAGTGAAAATAAACACAACTTATTAAAGAATATAATACCCAAACATTGGATATAGATATTTTAAGATATAATGTTAATGTCAATGTGAATTGTACACTGTACTCAAACTCATTACTATTTTCAGAAGAAAAGTTTAAATATAAACTTAAAGCCAAAAAAAAAAGTTTTAAAAGTTCTATTCTTGGTGGAAGTTATGTATACTAAGCAGATAACATATGAATAATAATAATAATATGTTATTATATAATAGTATAATATTTATAATAGTATATTATGTACACTTATATATACACTTTCCTCCTATTATTTACTCTATAGCCCAAACAAAGACATAGGACAACTTTTGTTTTCTGAAACTTATTTCTCTTGTGTTTTTTCTTTTCTTTCTAAGAGCTAATGTTAACACTCAGTGGACACCACCAGCTAATTCCCTGGTGTTTTCGATGTTGTGTTCATAATTAGGTCTAATTAGCTTGAATTGTATACAGTAAAAGAGTTGTTTGTTTGGAACAAGGTCATTAGAAACAACTCTCTGGTGATGTCAACATAAACTGAGCTCATTAAACCGATTTATTTGTTTGAACTAACCATTATGAGTTTAATGATAAAGACCTCATCTGGGAGCAAAATGTATTAGGGTGTCTGTATGATTGTATATGGGCCAAAGGTCTTTTAGGACTTATACATTGGCATAAGATTTATCCTTGATTCTTGAAAAATAAGACTTAATTAACAATAACAAAATAAATAATGCAAGTATATTAAACAAATGTACAGTATTAAAAAGACCATATATTAAACATAATAGTTGAGTTATACTGCTTCTTATCTCTTAACTTAGTATATAAAAATATTGTGCTTAACTATATTACATAACAACTATTAACTTATTGACTCGCCAAAACACTGAAGTATCTTAAATAAAATTGGTCAGAAATCATATGGACAAAGATCATATGGACCAGATTTCGAAAACAGCGAGAATGTACAGTATTTAAGACCATTTACAACGGAAGGAATTTGGTGCTGAGTCGGACACATTTAATTGGTGCGCCTTGGTCCTTCACCCAAATACGTCCCCCTTCTACACGGAGAGGAAGAGTTGGGTTAGAAGACAAATTAAAATTTCACATCGATTATTCCACGGAAAGAATTGCAGACTGAGAGCGACGAGAAGGTTAAGATTGGAAACTTTTGTGTTCTTATTTTAAACAAGTTCGAATTTGTCAAACTTGCTGGGCAGTAAAAATAATATGACTAGACACGGTTATGACACTGTATGTCATGTTGTATATTTACCTTAAGCATTACACATAATGTTAGAACGTTGAACGAGTAACCGGTTCCTTATTAATATTATTAGCACTTTTTTCTTTATTTCTTTTTCTTTTTACAATTGATTGTACAGTGTAAAGTAATATGCTACCACTATAATACAAGGCTCATGTTAAAAATAATTAAAACAAATCATTAATAAAATCCATAAATATATAAATTCCAAAATTCATAATTTTGTTTGTTTTTCTTTTAAAGCAAACTGCCTTCCTCAACACTGCGCACTGTAACAAATGGCTTCTCCTTCACCCCATAACCGCGAACGCAATGATGATGAGGATGACCCAGTTGAACGGATGATTTCAAGGACTGGCTGTGCAGAGCTTCATTATGCTGTGCAGGAGTGTATGGCTGAACACCAGGACTGGCGAGTGTGCCAGAGTCAAGTCCAGACCTTTAAAGACTGCATGATTAATTTCCAAAATGCTCAAAAACAACTCTTGATGAAGCGTCTCTCTCCAGCTCCAGAGTCTACAGCCAGCTGAACCCAGCAGACCCTGCCATGTGTAGTTCAATTAAAGAAACATGCCAATCATGCCAAAATTCCATGAAGAATTCCCACAGTGGAAAGATGTCCATGACAAAATCAATTTCTGGGTCAATATCACAACCTGGTGTTTATTTTTGTTTTGTGGAAAATAATGTACAAAAATTGCTAAAAAAAAACAGTTTCTATCAAACTTTACAGAAATAGGATGTCCTGTATGTGTTTTGTGTCTTTGTTTAACTTTGTGAGGAGGATACTTGCATAGGTCAAAAATCCTTAGAACATAATAAATGTTTTTTTCTCTTCTCTTTTTTAATAAAAAAGAGGACCGTGGGATGGTAGACAATATTAATCACGTGGATAAAAGTCGAATTGTTATATTCAAACAGAGCAGCAGTTGAGAATGTCAACTGAATTTGTGAAATGAAAATAAAATGTTTAAATAAAGTTGAATGACAATGAGAGATGGCATAGTTTTATCTACTTGTTAAATAGATTGGATAACATGCATCCTAATCACACCATAAATTAGAATGATATATTATTAAGAAAATGATTGAAGTTGATTGAAGTTGCATTATGAAAAGATCTTTTAAAAAACTAACTGCCTAAAGCTTTGGGGGTTGGGTTGGATAAAAAAAAGATCAAATTCTAACCTGAAACTGCACCACTCATCAAAAAAATCTTATCTCATACAATGTATGTAACAACTCTTGTGGCTATCGGATGACACCGACTGTTAGGCAGCTAAAGACTTCTTTAAAAAAGCAGATGTGCAGCACACAAAATTATAGTTAAATATATTTTTTTAATATTAAAAATGAAAACAGGACTCCTACTAAGGAGATGTGTTTACTACATAAACTATCAGATAAGATAGAGTATGATAAGATGCTCTGTGTTGTTCAATCATTATGTCAGAGCGGAGGTTCATTAGTGATGTTTGTTGTTACAATTTTTAATTATTCATATCAGTCAGAGAGTGGCTAAAACTGCTACTACACTACTGTAGTAATCTCTTTACTGCCACATGGAGTCATCTGTCCATTAGAGGAGTTGGTGAGTTTCAAATAACTGTTGTAAAACTGACAATATCCTGAAAACATCTGATCTGTTTTGAAAGTACAGTGGTTAAAATGGACATGTTTCTGTGTGTGTTTAATATGTGTATTATTCTGAAGAACAAAAAATTAATCTGAAGATTTCACACACTGAGAGATTTTTTCACACACAGTGTTCCAGGGCCTGACTTCCAGCACACAGACTGTGGAGCCAACTATGTTAGTTCCAAAGAGCGTAACAAACCATTCTGCTATTATTCACCCTCCAGGTTTCTACATCATTGGATTTAAAAGTTTTTCCTACATCAGTGCCTACATCTTCTTCCTGGTGTTTGTCTATCTGGTTACAGTTGTCTTTAATGGTTTACTCATGTACATAATTGCCATGGACAACAAACTACACACTCCTAAATTTCTGGCTGTGGTCAACCTGGCAGTGATTGATGCCTTGTTGAACACAAGCACAATCCCTGGTATGGTTAAGACTTTTGTCCTAAATGATAATTTTGTTCCTTTCAACCTGTGTCTTGTACAAATGTTTATTCACTACTCATGTATATGTTTGGAGTCTTATGCACTTGCTATACTGGCCTACGATCGGGTGATTGCGATATCTTTCCCTTTTCGCCAGAATGTTCTTAACACACGGCCAATCATGTTTACTATTATAGGTTTAACCTGGTGTTACAGTGTGGGCTTGTTAGCATACAGCACCATAATCATGACTCGCCTGTCTTTCTGCAGGTCTGTCACAGTGTTCAGTTATTTCTGTGACTATGCCCACCCCCCAGCCCCCAGATGGACGGCACATTATAGTAACATGTGTTTGTTGCATTTCAGCAACATTTCAGATAATTTAGCTTCTATCAAGAACTGGACTTGGGTCCTGACATTTTAGCATACACACCAGAACCGCATACAGTCATACATTACTGCAGCAGTCTTAGGACCACACCTAATGCTGTGATTGGTTGAGATGCGTGATGACGAAGTCCGTATTGTTCCAATCATCGCCCTCCTGTGTTCAGTGTCAATTCTCAGGGCATAATTTCATCATCCAATTTCTCTGTTGGAAAAAACCGGTAATGTCATTTTCTGTGAGCAGTTTTAACTATAAATCATTCTATGTTACGTCTTTGATGTTATGAGGAGTTGCACCAGCAGCTCTTAGACACAGCATCAAACCAAGCTGGTGCTGAACAGAGAATCCAGATACAGAACAGCAACACTTTGGACTTTGTAAGTCTGGTACCTAACGTAAACTGCCTATTGATTTATTTCACTGATAGCGTTCACTGTGATTTTTCTTGTTTAGACGAAAGAGTTTTCACTGAGCCAGTTGGTCCTTCAGGACACACTCTCTGAAGTTCCATGATGTTTTTACCAAGGAACGTCTCTGTCATCATTCACCCTCCAGGTTTCTACATCATTGGTTTTCAGACTTTTCCCTTCGTCGGTGTTTATTTCATCTTCCTGGCATTTGTGTACGTGGTCACAGTGCTGTTCAACACTCTGGTCATTTTCATCATTGTCTTTAACCACTGTTTGCACACTCCAAAGTTCGTGGCCGTGGTCAACCTGGCTGTGATCGATTTAATCTTCAACACAAGCATTATTCCTAGCATGATAAAGATATTTCTCATGAAAGACAATTTTATTCCATTTAACTTGTGTTTGGTGCAGATGTTTTTCTACTATACTTTTGTGACTCTGGAGTCGTGTGCACTCGCCGTACTCGCCTACGACCGGTTGGTTGTGATATGTTTCCCTCTGCGTCAACACTCAGTCAACACTCTGAGAAGCATGACATTTATCATCAGTGTCACCTGGTCTTTTACTGTGGGAATTGTGTCATTTTCAACAGCTATAATGACCCGACTGTCCTTCTGTAATTCACTCAGAGTCTTCAGCTACTTCTGTGACTATGCACCTGTGTTCAGACTGGCCTGTAACGACTACACTCTGCAGTGGTTGACAGCGTCCATTCTCACTATTCTGTGTCTGGGCGTACCCTTTGGTTTCATCCTACTGTCTTACACTGTCATCCTGGTGACGGTGTTCAGGATGAAATCACTGGACAGCAGGAAGAAAGCCTTGTCCACTTGTGTGGAACATCTGATTCTTGTTGCTGTCTTCTATATTCCAATTCTTGTCATTTTTCTGATGGGTTTCTACCTGAGAGTCATTGACCAGGACCAGCGAGTGCTCAGCCTGTCTCTGGCCTCCTGTATTCCTCCCTGCATTAATCCTATGGTGTATTCTTTGAAAACTAAAGCCATCAAGGTCAGAGCCTTGGCTGTGTTTGTAAAAAAATAAAGTTAATTTGTACAAAGAACATCAATCAAATTATTCAAATCAAAAAAGTATCAGTGACATGGAGTTATAAAGGATCCAGTGTCTATGGACTATAGACCCAATGGTGCTAATATTAACATGTTAACATGGTTTAATCTTATTGCTTGTGGAAAATTCTACTATAATTTTGGATATTATTTATAAATTGTGCTTTAAAGGGATTCAGAGTCAACTATGCATCTATAAAATACATCAAATTTGTGTAAAAGTTGTGAGAAAATACCTTTATGCCATACATGTTTGTTAAAGATTTGTCATTAATGCTCATTCTGAGCAAATGTGATATAAAGTGAAACACAATGAACACAGAATCCTCTTATGTCTCAATAAGTTATATATTTTGATTTATTCTGCTAATTGGCTGAAAAGACCAAAAAAACTAGTTCAGTTCCTCTTGATCTGAGGCAGTGTTTTTGAGGCAGTGAACTCTTTAGTTCACTGAACACAAGATCATAAATATGAATTCTGTTGTCCAAGACTGTAAAATCTACTTCATTTGTCTATTGATATAATAGAAAGAAAGACTGCATGATTACTTTCCAAAATGCTCAAAAAAGCGTCTCTCTCCAGCTCCAGAGTCTACAGCCAGCTGAACCCAGCAGACCCTGCCATGTGTAGTTCAATTAAAGAAACATGCCAATCATGCCAAAATTCCATGAAGAATTCCCACAGTGGAAAGATGTCCATGACAAAATCAATTTCTGGGTCAATATCACAACCTGGTGTTTATTTTTGTTTTGCGGAAAATAATGTACAAAAATTGCTAAAAAATAAATAAAAATTAAAAAAGGCCTATAAATATTGACCTCCATAAATCTCTAAAATGTTTTGCTGCTCTACGTTTAAAAATAAAAAACAATTTGAGCAAATATTTGTGTCAATAGTAAAGTCAGTCATTTTTTAAAACAGTTTCCAATAAATTTACAGAAATAGGATGTCCTGTATGTGTTTTGGGTCTTTGTTTCAATGAGAGATGGCATAGTTTTATCTTTTTGTTAAATAGATTAAATAGAACATGCATCCTAATCACACCATAAATTAGAATGATATATTATTAAGAATTGAAAATGATTGAAGTTGCATTATGAAAAGATCTTTGAAAAAACAAACTCAACAAAATTATAGTTAAGTATTAAAAATGAAAACAGGACTCCTACTAAGGAGATGTGTTTACTACATAAACTATCAGATAAGATAGAGTATAATAAGATGCTCTGTGTTGTTCAATCATTATGTCAGAGCGGAGGTTCATTAGTGATGTTTGTTGTTACAATTTTTAATTATTCATATTGTTTATTAGAAGGTGAAAAGTTTTCTCTGGAGAAGGCTGAGGAGGGTTTATATTCTGTATGTCGGTGTGGTGGTCAGTCAGAGAGTGGCTACTACTGCTACTACAGTACTGTAGTAATCTCTGTACTGCCACATGGAGTCATCTGTCCATTAGAGGAGTTGGTGAGTTTCAAATAACTGTTGTAAAACTGACAATATCCTGAAAACATCTGATCTGTTTTGAAAGTACAGTGGTTAAAATGGACATGTTTCTGTGTGTGTTTAATATGTGTATTATTCTGAAGAACAAAAAATTAATCTGAAGATTTCACACACTGAGAGATTTTTTCACACACAGTGTTCCAGGGCCTGACTTCCAGCACACAGACTGTGGAGCCAACTATGTTAGTTCCAAAGAGCGTAACAAACCATTCTGCTATTATTCACCCTCCAGGTTTCTACATCATTGGATTTAAAAGTTTTTCCTACATCAGTGCCTACATCTTCTTCCTGGTGTTTGTCTATCTGGTTACAGTTGTCTTTAATGGTTTACTCATGTACATAATTGCCATGGACAACAAACTACACACTCCTAAATTTCTGGCTGTGGTCAACCTGGCAGTGATTGATGCCTTGTTGAACACAAGCACAATCCCTGGTATGGTTAAGACTTTTGTCCTAAATGATAATTTTGTTCCTTTCAACCTGTGTCTTGTACAAATGTTTATTCACTACTCATGTATATGTTTGGAGTCTTATGCACTTGCTATACTGGCCTACGATCGGGTGATTGCGATATCTTTCCCTTTTCGCCAGAATGTTCTTAACACACGGCCAATCATCAGTCAGAGAGTGGCTAAAACTGCTACTACACTACTGTAGTAATCTCTTTACTGCCACATGGAGTCATCTGTCCATTAGAGGAGTTGGTGAGTTTCAAATAACTGTTGTAAAACTGACAATATCCTGAAAACATCTGATCTGTTTTGAAAGTACAGTGGTTAAAATGGACATGTTTCTGTGTGTGTTTAATATGTGTATTATTCTGAAGAACAAAAAATTAATCTGAAGATTTCACACACTGAGAGATTTTTTCACACACAGTGTTCCAGGGCCTGACTTCCAGCACACAGACTGTGGAGCCAACTATGTTAGTTCCAAAGAGCGTAACAAACCATTCTGCTATTATTCACCCTCCAGGTTTCTACATCATTGGATTTAAAAGTTTTTCCTACATCAGTGCCTACATCTTCTTCCTGGTGTTTGTCTATCTGGTTACAGTTGTCTTTAATGGTTTACTCATGTACATAATTGCCATGGACAACAAACTACACACTCCTAAATTTCTGGCTGTGGTCAACCTGGCAGTGATTGATGCCTTGTTGAACACAAGCACAATCCCTGGTATGGTTAAGACTTTTGTCCTAAATGATAATTTTGTTCCTTTCAACCTGTGTCTTGTACAAATGTTTATTCACTACTCATGTATATGTTTGGAGTCTTATGCACTTGCTATACTGGCCTACGATCGGGTGATTGCGATATCTTTCCCTTTTCGCCAGAATGTTCTTAACACACGGCCAATCATGTTTACTATTATAGGTTTAACCTGGTGTTACAGTGTGGGCTTGTTAGCATACAGCACCATAATCATGACTCGCCTGTCTTTCTGCAGGTCTGTCACAGTGTTCAGTTATTTCTGTGACTATGCACCAGTGTTCAGACTGGCCTGTAACGACTACTCTTTACACTGGGCTGTAGCTACAGTGTCGCTAGTAAATCTTATAGCTCCCTTTATTTTTATTGTCTTCTCCTATGTCACCATCATTATGACTGTGTTCAGGATGAAGTCAGTCACCAGCAGGATGAAGGCTCTCACTACATGCATTGAACATCTTATCCTTGTTACTATATTTTATTTTCCTTTATTTATAATTTACTTTGTTGGGCTGCTTATTAAAAGTGTAAATCCAGACCAGCGTGTGCTGAGTTTGTCCCTGGCCACCTGCCTCCCTCCCTGCATTAATCCAATTGTATATTCACTGAAAACAAAAGAGATTCGAACCAGAGCCGTGCAAATGGTCAGAAAGCTGAAAATAAACCCTTAATAACTCACACAGTGAGGGGTTCATAACTAACCCCTCACCGCCCCCACACCATCTAAATCTTACTCTTAACCCCAATCTCCATTTAGTACTGTACATTTATGAAGACATTTATGAAGACATGGATTTGCTTATATTTTAACAAGATTGTGAATTTGTACATTTGACTGTTGTGCTCTATGCTGTATGACATCCAGAGAATTTTAGCTGAAAGCTGTTTAAGTTTTTGTGTGACATTTGTTTTCTTGTATAATAAACTTGTCAACAAAACACTTGAGGTCTCCTTAGTTTATAATGTGCATGATATGGACTAGTTTGACTTCTTGTAAAATGATTCATGAAATGTGACGGTGTTCAGGATGAAATCACTGGACAGCAGGAAGAAAGCCTTGGAAAATTCTAGTATAATTCTATAAAATATCATTTGATATGATATATTTTTGATTTTTTTTTACACCAATCCTATCATTCTGAGACTTGAAATATTTGACAACATAAACAATAAGTGTAAATACATTTTTTTTAATTTAATGTCTAAAGAAGAGTAATGTTGATCCTTTTCAAAGTTTGTAATTAAGTCGTGCCACTGAGATTAATTAGTCTGAGGTTTAATCAGTGAAAGCTTTGTTGTTTTAAACAAGGTCATCAACTGTAAGTCTCTGGTGATAGCAACACAACTTAGAGTGGGATAATTAGAATCACTGTGGTTTGGCTCAACTCAGTCTGTTTAATGATGAACAACTCCCCTGTGAATATTACCAGACAGATGATCATACTTGTTAACTTTGTTGTTTTCTTTTTGAAGTTTGAAATGTTATCGTTAAAGTTAATTCAAAATCTATCTATCTATCTGTCTATCTGTCTATCTATCTATCTGTCTGTCTCTATTGAAGGCTATCTATCTGTCTATCTGTCTGTCTCTATTGAAGACTGTCACACTGATGACTGATCGTATTGTTTGAATGGGCTAAAAATCCTGTTAGTTCTGTTACAGAACCTTCATGTGTGGTTTCAAATATTTACTACATGAAATTAGGTTTGAATTAATATTGTGAACAAAGTGCATTGGCCTAAGTTTCAGAAAAAGAAAAAAAAACATAAAGCACTTATTGTAACAAATGAGGAGGAGAAGGAGGAGGAGGAGGAGGAGTAAATCTCTGGAGATAGGTAAAGACACATATATACATGTATACATACAGCAGCTGCCAAAGTCAGCCTCATCAAAGTTAATGGTAAATTAGGGTGAGGGCGAGGGCAGGACTTGCGGAATTAGAATTATACTGCACAGACTTTTGCTGATGCTTTAGACGTCTGCAGCGTCTCTTCACTCTAGTGTTGAACTATGTCTTTTTTCAGGACTTTTTGGAACAGCTCTGTCATCATTCACCCTCCAGGTTTCTACATCATTGGGTTTCAAAAGTATCCTTTTGTCAGTGTTTACTTCATCTTCCTGGCATTTGTGTACGTGGTCACAGTGCTGTTCAACACTCTGGTCATTTTCATCATTGTCTTTAACCACTGTTTGCACACGCCAAAGTTTGTGGCCGTGGTCAACCTGGCTGTGATCGATTTAATCCTCAGCACGTGTCTTATTCCTAGCATGATAAAGATATTTCTGCTTAAGGACAATTTCATAACATTTAACTTGTGTTTGGTGCAGATGTTTTTCTACTATGCTGCTGGCATTCTGGAGTCGTGTGCACTCGCCGTACTCGCCTACGACCGGTTGGTTGTGATATGTTTCCCTCTGCGTCAACACTCAGTCAACACTCTGAGAAGCATGACATTTATCATCAGTGTCACCTGGTCTTTTACTGTGGGAATTGTGTCATTTTCAATAGCTATAATGACCCGACTGTCCTTCTGTAATTCACTCAGAGTCTTCAGCTACTTCTGTGACTATGCACCTGTGTTCAGACTGGCCTGTAACGACTACACTCTGCAGTGGTTGACAGCGTCCATTCTCACTATTCTGTGTCTGGGCGTACCCTTTGGTTTCATCCTACTGTCTTACACTGTCATCCTGGTGACGGTGTTCAGGATGAAATCACTGGACAGCAGGAAGAAAGCCTTGTCCACTTGTGTGGAACATCTGATTCTTGTTGCTGTCTTCTATATTCCAATTCTTGTCATTTTTCTGATGGGTTTCTACCTGAGAGTCATTGACCAGGACCAGCGAGTGCTCAGCCTGTCTCTGGCCTCCTGTATTCCTCCCTGCATTAATCCTATGGTGTATTCTTTGAAAACTAAAGCCATCAAGGTCAGAGCCTTGGCTGTGTTCAAAAGAAAGACATTCATCATAAATTCATCATGAACAGCATGTCATCTGTGAATAAGCTTTGCTTGAAAGTGATCGTTATGCTTCAACTTTCACTGTTATTAATTGAGATTTAAGCATGCTTAATTAAACATCGGTGTGATCAATACTGTCATATGGATCTAAGTAAATATGTTAATTCCCTTCATATAAGCATGATATGATATAGAATATTATACGAAACATAATAAAGTGAATCTGTTTTTTCTCTCACTAATGTATAACAACCCTTGTTAATTTTGTTTAACATTCTGAACTTATAGGATATAAAATCATTCAGATGTCCACTGATATTTCAAGTTGAACCACAACTGGTAATGAAGTTATGTATTGTACAAACTGTCTAAATCCTAAAATGCATTATGGGTTTAAAAAAATGTATTTCTGCTGCAAGAAATTATCTATAAAATGACTAATCCATACACATTGCATCTTTTGAATAATCATTCAAAAAGATACCAAATGATAACGCTCTGCAGGTGGAGCTAGAACCTTCATACTTGAGGACTGTGGTATGATTTTGGTGATTAATTGTATTTCTAAATACAATTAATCAATACAATTGCTTACAATGAATGGTGGACTACCCATACTGTCAAGTGAGCCCGTGTTCTCAACTGTATTTGTGAAAGTGAACTGTGACCTTGAGTCAAAATCATATAAAAATACAAAATGTTTTGTCAATTTACATTTCATTAAATATGGATATTTAAGAATATACTTGTATATATTTGCAGAAAAACAAATGGGGAAAACATGGACTAATTATTTATAGGTAATTATGTTATGATATAACAACACATCTTAACCAATCTCAGTTGACTTGAGTCTTTTGCAAATGATAAAAACCATATTAACCCTAAGCTGCTTTTAAAGCAAGGTCAAAGAACGAAAATACAACAAATAGAAAAATAAAAATGATTAAGAAGTCAAAAACTACACCAACAATACTGTGATAAAAACAAACAGCAATAAACAAAATACAAATTCCGAAGCTCTAATCTGACAGGGAGGACTTGAGAGCAGCCAGAAGAAAAATGAGTTTGATGATCTCAACTTTTAACAATAAAACTAACTCTCAAACCTATAGAGAAACAGTCTGATAATTTGATCCAAAAACTTACAAGAAACTCTTCCAATATAGTTAGAATAGGACTTTTCAGAACATGATGGTGTGATTTCTGAAAACTCCAAAAGCAGTTGGACGTGTTTTAAAGTTCAAGATATGAATACATTTTTAAGAGACATTCTGACATCTGAACTGATTTGTTTTAACCTGAACTCACAATAAAAAATATCCACAAATAAATGAGAAGTGTTCGAATGTCACTTGTAGCTTTGTCTTTAATTCGAGGAAGTTAAAACTTATTCAGCAGGTTTTAGTCTTGATGAGCACTCAGAGCACTTATCATTTACTAGGATATAACATGCCTGGGGCTGACATTGAACCCACAACCCTTCAGGTGTATTACCACTGGATGACGCACAGAGTAACAGTCACTTACTTTCATTCATGAGTGGTTATCCCTGAGGAAGCCCCCAAAAGCCTGCACGGACACTCAGGTATATTCGCACATCATCTGCAAAACAGGAAACAAAGAAAATGAGACACTGCATTCTGAAAATAGATTGTAGAGTTCTTTTTTTTTTACAAAACAACAGCTTACTCAAAGCAGTTTAGACAAATCTGTGGTCTGCTGTGACCCAGAGTTCTGAAGAGCAGCCCATTCTCAGCCCTCAGCCTCAGCAGGTTCACCTGCCAGAGCAGAACGGCGGGAACACACTGCTTAAGGCTGAGGATAAGACCAGGGAAAAGATCAAACCTCGCTGATCTAATCATTCTTCCCCGGCCTTGTGTACTTGTCGGCCTCCTGAAGTGTTGTCTGAGACCAGCGTACTAAATTGTCAAATTTGCTAACGGCCCTCCCACCACCCTGTGGCTCCTTGTCCTGACCTGTCCGTCTCTGGTGGAGAATACCGACAAACTGGTTAAGAAAGTAACACTAAAAAGTTTTCCACTCTATTGACTGGTTATTGTCTATATCAAGAGGTAAAGAGGGGGACACTACAGTAGTAGCAGCAGCAACCAAGCTTTTTTTTGGTCACATAAGTGTTTATAGGCATGGCAGTGATTTGTTGTGTGATCATCTTTTAATCTTAAATAAAAAAATACTGTATGATTGCCTCAGAAATATAATGTTTCTTAATGAGTTGATGTATTTGGGCTTAATCTCTGGGGAAGCATGAGGACACTTTATCTACCGCTGACAATGAGCCAGGCGTGCAGCTGTGTGCATGTTGCAGCTGGACTCTGCTGCGTAATAGAAATGCCTGGCAACTAGGAGAGAGAATGGGGAGTGTTTTCTCTGGAGTTCAACTATGACTGTTCTCAGGACCGTTCTGAACGACTCTGTCATCATTCACCCTCCAGGTTTCTACATCATTGGTTTTCAGACTTTTCCCTTCATCAGTGTTTATTTCATCTTCCTGGCATTTGTGTACGTGGTCACAGTGCTGTTCAATACCTTACTGATCTGCATCATTGTCTTTAACCACTGTTTGCACACTCCTAAGTTCGTGGCCGTGGTCAACCTGGCTGTGATCGATTTAATCCTCAGCACGTGTCTCATCCCCAGCATGATAAAGGTTTTTCTGCTGAAGGACAATTTCATTCCCTTTAACCTGTGCCTGGTTCAGATGTATATCTACTATGCCATCACGACTATGGAGTCATATGCACTTGCCGTACTCGCCTACGACAGGTTGGTATCGATTTGTTTCCCCCTGCATCAACACTCAGTCAACACTCTGAGAGGCATGACCTGGATTGTGACTGTGTCGTGGTGTCTTGGTGCAGGGTTTCCCATATTTTCAGTGTCTATAATGACCCGACTGTCCTTCTGTAATTCACTCAGAGTCTTCAGCTACTTCTGTGACTATGCACCTGTGTTCAGACTGGCCTGTAACGACTACACTCTGCAGTGGTCTGTGGCCTCTGTGTCCTCTTTAGTTTTACTTGTTGTACCCTTTGGTTTCATCCTACTGTCTTACATCAGCATCTTGGTGACGGTGTTCAGGATGAAATCTCTGGACAGTAGGAAGAAGGCTTTGGCCACATGTGTGGAACATGTTATACTTGTTGCCAGCTTTTACCTTCCCATTGTTATTATTTTTACAATAGGGCTGTATTTACGTTTAATTAACCCAGACCAGCGTGTGCTCAGCCTGTCTCTGGCCTCTTGCCTCCCACCCTGCATCAATCCTATTGTGTATTCTTTGAAAACTGAAGAGATCAAAAAGAGGATTTTGGCACTGGCACAAAAGAGTAAAGTACGGTCACAACAACGCAAGAGCAAGTCCTGAATTTTTTTTTAAATAAAAAATAATAAAAGCGACACATTTTTTTAATTTAAAAATGACTGAATATAGAGGTAGAGAAACACATGTCTTCTTTAAATATTTTAATGTGAAATTGTGATGCCTATGTGGCCTATTTTTCTTTTCTGTCATTGGTTTATGGGACAAATGGACTCAATGTCTAAACGTATATACATTACACTTTGTAATCTTTGCTGACACTACACATACTGTTGTTAGACCTCGATCTTGTTTCCCTTGTTCTAAAAAAAGTTTTGTTTTTTCACTTATATAATTTCGCTGTAACCTGTCCACAATTAACCCCGGCTCTGGACGTCGACTCAGCAAAAGACTGTGCAGGAGTAAACAGTGGAAATCAACATGTCTGAATGGTTCGATTTGCAAACAGGAAATAAACATTCAATTTATGCACAGGCTCCCCTCTTGTGGAGATGTGTATGTAATGCATGATGCACGGTGAGTTGCAGTGTGTGCATCTTTGCCAAAACTTCCCCTCTGCAGGATAATTTAATTTCTATAGGCGTTGAAAACGAGAAAGTATTCTCAAATACAGTCGGTTGACAACAACCCCGTCCTCTCTGTGACATACCATGTTAACAAATAACATTCAAAGTGTTTTACTTTGTTTCCTCACAAAACCTTTAGCACATTTTAATCACATTTCGTTAACCTTTAGGTATTCATTCCACGTAAAATTACTTGTACGTAAGACTTTTTGTTTTTGTTTTTGTGAAATGATGTTTAAACCAGCACCAACTCCCCTGCACAGAAACTCCTGTCATTTTACTATGTATTTGTTTGTATTTCTTTTACTTCTGTCGATGCTAACGCCATATTTTCTTATCTTCGTGTCATTTGTTGAAAAATAAAGATTTTAATACTTCCACAGTTGTGTTTCATTTTATTAATTTGCTGTAAGGAAATTTGTAACCACGCTGCATTTAAAGTAAATCCTTTATGTCATTACAGCTTCAGTTATTTATATATAAATGACAGCTACAGACACAACTGACAGATTTAGTCATCATCATATGACTCAAATGGATAGAATAATAACAAAATATTACTAACAGTGATAACAATTAATTTTTCAGTGATAAAACGAGCTCTTTGTTTGAACCTCTTCCATATTTATTCATTTATTTATTCATATTTGTTTGGTTTGGGCCAATTTTGGAGAAAATAACAATGTGTAGCCCTTTGTGTTTTGTTTCGTAAATGTCTTTTAATCTCCCAAACAGTACTTTGCGTCCAAAAACATAATTCGTACATTTCCCTTATTTTATCACGATAACCTTACGACGACGTTGTATTGAATCACAAAAAAGTAAAAACAGTGTGTACAAATTGTACGACATGACATAGTATAGTTACAGACATTACCTCGTTCCTAAATAGCATCCAATGACAACAAACAACCACAATGAGGGACAAGCAGAAGACATTCTTATTGTGCGTTTTTGCCATCTAGTGTCCATATTTTTTATTGCAGGCTGTACCAAGGTATAACGTAAGTTGCAGTTGTCAGTAATTTTATCAGACTATTCGGAGATAAATAGGGATTCAGACTAGGCCAACGCCGCGGAGGCGTTAATAATCAGGTAATAAGGTTATTTACACAGATTGAAACATATCACCGTTATTCACTGACTGCAGAGCATAGACGTTGGTGTTCTTAAAGCGAAGAAATATAGAATACACCGCAGGACAACTGCTATTCCTGGCAAAGAAAACACAAAGGATAACCTTGGCCTAGGAAGAATACAATATAAATTAACATGCAATTTTCTTAAGCTAAAAGTGTTGAAATAGGGCTCAGTCAAGTCTCTGTGTATATACAGTTTACTGTAAACATGTGCCATTCAAAAATCCATTCATATCAGTTATAAAAAGCAATGATTGATATAAACAAAATACTTGTTCACTCATTGAAAGGTGCAGGGCATATGCTTTGTTAAGTTTATTCAACATTTACACTAAAAATACAATTTCTTCACAACAACAATTTTAAAGAAAAGGTAATTAAGCTCACATATGAGTAAAAAAAGGAAGACTTATTCTTCATATATTAAGTCATTGCTATTAGGAAATGTGCATATTGTACACATTAAGCTTTTAACTTCAGGGATTTTAGAAAAAACATTGCATCAACAGTGTGAGTCTTTAAAATGAAGAAACGTTAGTACAAACAGTCTGGTCAAACCATGTAGTTTCTCCTATTATCTCAGTTTTAACATGTGTCATTTTATGACAAGGAAAGAAAAGCACAGGAAAATATTAATGGTCAAATTGAAAGTATTTTGTTGGCTTTGTCTCTAATATGCAGTAATTTTTTTAAAGATTCTTTGATTTCTTGCGTCTGCAGGACGTAAACGATAGGGTTCAACATGGGAGGAAACACAGAGGTGAGAGACAGGTTTAGGATCCTGGCATTAGGATGGATTTTTTCCATTAGTGTGAAGGTGATCAACATTGGAATGAAATAGACCGCTACCAGCGACAGATGACCGATGCAGGTCTTAAAGGCTTTGAGTCCTTCATGAACTGTAGCCACCTTTGCCAAAGTACTGCCGATGTACAAGTAGGTCAACAAAATAAAAACAAGTGGGAGCCAGAAAATGAGGACAGGATACAAACAGCTGAGGACATAATTGGGATAGTGGTCGTTGCAAGACAGGCGGTAAATCTGACCGTGGTCACAGAAATAGCTGTTAACAAATACAGACTCACAGATGGAGAGTCTGGTGATGAGGCCGACAGCAATGAGGACAGCAATGATAGAAAAGACCCAAAAAGATGCAATCAAATACAGCATAAATTTATGGGTTACCTTCACTTGATAGTGCAGTGGATAAGTAATAGCTATCAGTCTGTCATAGGAGAGGGCAACCAGATTGAAAGACTGCATGCACAGACAGGTGTAGCAGAAGAAAAGGAAAGTCAGACAGTCATTGTAAGGGATTTGTGGATGGTTAAACAAAAAAATGTCCAGAACTTTAGGCACCAAGGCAGTGTTCCCAAACAGGTCCACAAACGCAAGGTTGAACACTGCAACATATTTTGGGGTCCGAAGTTTAGGATCTAAGTATATCAAAGCCATTACAAGTGTGTTTCCCAGCACTGACACAATATAAACAAAGAAGAGAAAGACATAGTAGTGTCTTATATTGGGGATGCCAGACAAACCAGTTATAATGAAATAGGCCGGATGCATAAAAGTGATGTTTTTACCGAGCGCTGAGTTGAATAAGTCCATTGTGTGGTGAAATGAAAGTGTCTGAAGTCAAGTGAACGATGTGAAGATGTCTCCTCCTCTGAGTCAACTCTCTGTCTCTGACTGCCTGTCTCTGAGTCTCTGACAGACTGGCAGCACACAGGAGGCCGCATCATTTAAACTCAACACTGACTAGCGGGCAGTCATAATCGTCATTGTCGTCGTCGTCGTCGTCATCATCATCATCATCATCATCATCACCCAACAGCACAATTAATCCAGATCATTTTAAATCTATAATCTTTAAATAAAGCAATGATAATTATATATTATCATTATTAGCATTAATGATAACACTGTTAACGCTCTGAGTCTGTCTTTGGCCTTTTGCTTCCATCTTACATGAATCCAGGTACAGATTTAATACAAACTGTAGAATTGTTGGACAAAAACCATTCAAAAATCATTTGCAGATAATAATATGACCTGTGGTCACTGAAACGATGAGAAATACCACACAAGAACTGTAAATATAGAATATTTAGATAACATGTGCTACAAATTAAATATAAAGCAAGATGAACTGTACATGAAAATGATGTTGTACTATACGCAATACTACAATAGAATTAATAGATCCAAGTACCACGCTCCACGTTCCCAAAATGGGGGGCCGGCCCCTGTGGAGGGCACTGAGTTATTGCCGAGATGTGCAAGAGATGTTCATTTTGCAATAGAAAAAAACCCCCACTGATGTGTACCCCACTGCCCCCGTCCTGAGGACAATATAAATATTTTTAAGGAATTACAATTCAAAAAAACAGTGCAGTGGAGATTTGAAGCCATAGCTGAGAATGTGCTGACATGGTGGGAGAGGGAACTCAATAATAGTCCTATCTACCAAAGGGGTGGATTTCAGAAAAATGTTGGGTAACCTAGCAGTACCAAAAGACTGGCAGCAGGGGTCCCAACGTCACAGTAGATGAAAAAATCTAATAATGGTTGCCAGATTTCTAACGTTAAAGTACTGTAGCACTGAACTAAAAGGATCATATCAGTGGATAGTAAAATGTAAAATACAGATGACCTAGATACCTATAGGGCGGCGACACACTCGTCATGTACACAAGGAGAGACCACGTCTTTTTGGCTTTAAAGCTACTATTCACATTGCCAGGTTAAAGTGATCTACAGACATTAAAAATGTCAAATATTTTTACTCATATAAACTGAACCTACTGTTATGCAAATTATATGTTGAGGTACTGATTAAATACATGTAGTTGTATGGCACGATAAGATTTACTTCTTACAGTATATGGTCACTACTACACACTATAGAAATATAGTATTTTTTTCATCTCAATTGCTCTTGATCTGTTACCACTTCCTTTGTAATCTGCTGGTAGATTGTGATCGACTTATTAGGTCTGATTTACACTGTGCATCATCATGTGTTACGTTGGGAGTTATTTAGCTGCAGAGTGCAGTGCTAGCCAACTCATCCATGTAATGAAAGGGTCAAATTATCGGACTTTATTAGATTTTGGGAATATTCAATCATAAATCATCCAGAGACTAAAAATACCATACTAATATGAGATATATCTAATATCTGTCACTGTGAAGCTAGCGCTGCAGCTCTGCCCTACGGTTGACTTGAATGCTAGGCTGTTTTCAAGATGTTCAGGTTTTTACCAGTCATGAAATGCTACGATTAGCTCTTTACATAAAGTTGTCCTAAAATGATGTGACACAATAAGGTACTTTCAACTAAAAAGAGCTTTTATCAATGATCTAAGGAGTTTGTGTGTGTGTGTGTGTGTGTGTGTGTGTTTTATTTTTCTCCTATTTCTGTTCCAGTGGAAAGCCCTTCAGACGGAAAGAGTAACTTCTTTGGGAGTAGTTAGTTGTTGACATAAACAGAAGCAACACAACAGTAAAGTGAAGAATACCTTAAGGGAAAAGAAACTCCAGGGATTTGGGTTTTTTTCCCTCATCACTCGTTCTGCACAACACTCCCTGGAACAGCTCATTACTGTCACCACTTGAACTGTTTCAAACCAAACAAACTTCCCACTGGTGGGCTCCTGAGCACCTCTACTGGCACTACATCAAATGACAATAACATCAACAAATGGGCTTAGCTAAAGTTTGTATTACTTTTTATTGAAGACGCTAATATTCTGTACCCTGAAGACCAGTTTATTTATGAGAATATTTTAATGAACCAGCCTTAATGTTATAGCCAATAAACAAAACAAATACAAAGTATTTTAATGGAAAAATAGCATTCTCCTTTACACTAAAGGCCACACCAACAATTTTTTTATAACTAATCATATTACGTTGCTTCAACAAGTGTCCTGATGTGTAAAGGACCACAGACATATACCAAAACCTGGCCTTTTCAAAACACTAGGAACATTGAAAATATCATCTTTTCAATTAATATGACTTCCTAATATATTGAAATATTTTTTAACATTGTCTTTATTTGTACGTGCAGCTGGTATTTGTATCAAGTGTTCAGAGAAAGAGAAAACTAGAGACAAAGTTCACTAGGAAACAGTTCCCTATATGGTTCTCTATATTTTTTACAAAAACTGATTCTTAAATGTATGTTAGTATCTCTAAAAAGGAGGTATTTGCCCTTTATGTATTTTGTAACCTTTTTATAAATGATATTTATTTACTGTTAGGATTATAATTATTCTTATTGGATTTTCTAGAGTTATATTCTTTTTTGTTGTTGTTGCCATGACACAGTGATACATCTATCAGGTACTTCTACTTTTCACATGTTATCAAGGCCATTAGCAACTGCAGCTAAATTGGACATGTGTAGAACAAAATTGTTATTAAATACATAAGGTTAGAAACTGATTGAGTTGTTTGTTTGTTTTTTTAATACATATTCTCATACGCATATACTCTTTTAATAAACCACATTGAATCTAAATGTAGGACCAGTAAATGGGATCTCAAATAGAGGGGAAACAACTGTTTTTATTTATTTATTTATCCTAGTCTTGAACACCAAAACCATATATGGGGCATGTATGCACAAACATGGGAATCAACGGAAAAATATATATATATATATATTTAAATGGATATACAGTAGTTCTAGGCCACCTGACCAAAGAAGCTGTTCTAGGAGGCTAGGGTCAACTGAAACAACACAAATCAAACTCCGACTGTTTTTTCTTTTCAACATTAAGATGATAACATAAGGATTTCAACTTGAGTTTAAACAAAATGCTTGCTAAATAAAAGCTTTCCAATCACCATCAGCGAATCAATAAACACATTTATAGACAAGACAACCATGTGCTACAGACAGATGATGACAATGGTGTCAGTAGTATACACATAGCCCTAGAGCATATTGTGATTGTGAGTAAGGGACCGTAGCTCTAAAAAAAAATTAATATTTGACTAAAAGTCACTTTTGAATTTTGACTTTCAATTGTGTTGCACATTGATCTTAGTTACTGACTTTTCAATAACAAACCTGAGGATGCACAAATACAGCCATTTCTAAACAGAGGAAATACAGTGCAGCTATTTATTCTATGCATTTACAATATCAATATTTAACCACATACATTTGTGAAGCTCACGTCTAAGTTATTGATATTTTATTGACAATTCCTCTCACATTCAGTAATTTTTTCAAAGATTCTTTGATTTCTTGCGTCTGCAGGACGTAAACGATAGGGTTCAACATGGGAGGAAACACAGAGGTGAGAGACAGGTTTAGGATCCTGGCATTAGGATGGATTTTATCCATCATCGTAAATGTGGTCAATACTGGAATGTAATAGACCGCTACCAGCGACAGATGACCGATGCAAGTCCTGAAGGCTTTGAGTCCTTCATGAACTGTAGCCATTTTAGCCAAAGTACAAACGATACATATGTAAGTTATTAAGATGAAAAGAAGTGGAACCCAGGAAAAAGCAACAGGATAAAACCAACTGAGGACATAATTGGGATAGTGGTCGTTGCAAGACAGGCGGTAAATCTGACCGTGGTCACAGAAATAGCTGTTAACAAATACAGACTCACAGATGGAGAGTCTGGTGATGAGGCCGACAGCAATGAGGACAGCAATGATAGAAAAGACCCAAAAAGATGCAATCAAATACAGCATAAATTTATGGGTTACCTTCACTTGATAGTGCAGTGGATAAGTAATAGCTATCAGTCTGTCATAGGAGAGGGCAACCAGATTGAAAGACTGCATGCACAGACAGGTGTAGCAGAAGAAAAGGAAAGTCAGACAGTCATTGTAAGGGATTTGTGGATGGTTAAACAAAAAAATGTCCAGAACTTTAGGCACCAAGGCAGTGTTCCCAAACAGGTCCACAAACGCAAGGTTGAACACTGCAACATATTTTGGGGTCCGAAGTTTAGGATCTAAGTATATCAAAGCCATTACAAGTGTGTTTCCCAGCACTGACACAATATAAACAAAGAAGAGAAAGACATAGTAGTGTCTTATATTGGGGATGCCAGACAAACCAGTTATAATGAAATAGGCCGGATGCATAAAAGTGATGTTTTTACCGAGCGCTGAGTTGAATAAGTCCATTGTGTGGTGAAATGAAAGTGTCTGAAGTCAAGTGAACGATGTGAAGATGTCTCCTCCTCTGAGTCAACTCTCTGTCTCTGACTGCCTGTCTCTGAGTCTCTGACAGACTGGCAGCACACAGGAGGCTGCATCATTTAAACTCAACACTGACTCTACCATCTGGTCCCCTGGGCTTGTTGCTAGTAGGAATCATCATCATCATCATCATCATCTTCACCCACCATCTTATCTATCTGTACAAGGTTTGAACACCTTCATTTCATTAGCATCCTAGTGACAGGATAGTTACAACGAAGCAACGATCGCCGCAAAAGTGTTTGTAAAGGCTTCAGTTGGGCTTTGTGGGGTGAGATGCCTGTCCTTCGTCCCACCAGGGGTCTGAGGAGATGACTAGTGACACAATGGTTTTACACCAAGTTAACGTCAAATGCACATCAATGACTACGATATTTTCCCGACCATATGTCGCTCCGGAGTATGTTGCACCAGCCAAAGGATACTGGTACACAAGCCTAGAGTGCCCTTTAGTGGCTGTTTTTTATTTTAATTTGAGTATGGGTCGCAAATAATAAAAAGTGTGACTTATACTCCAGAAAATACAGCAAATGTCACAAACTCAACAAAGCATAGTTTTAAGTGGTACTCCTATTCTCTACTCCAGGGGTGTCAAACTCATTTTCACCGGGGGCCACATCAGCAATACAACTCCACTTGAAGGGCCGGTTGTAACTGGAAGACTGTATAGATTAGAGGTCCCCAACGCCCAGTCCGTGGACCAGTACCGGTCCATTGGTCATTTGGTACCAGGCTGCAGTGGGACATAGTTAGAAAAATGTGCTTAATTTTTACTAATTTACTTCATTCAATTTCATTCAAATTTATTTAAAGATAATCCATTAAAAAAAGATGTAATAAAAAAAAATTTAATTTCTCAGGTTAAGCTCCCACGGGCCACACAAAATGGCTTAGCGGGCCGCATTTGGCCCCCGGACCTTGAGTTTGACACATATGCTCTACTCAGTCCAAAAACAACCAGAATAAGGTTAACTCTTAGTGACATTCCCTCTACTTTCATTAACATAACATAACATCAAATCACCATTAAGATTAAAATGGATTAAAATGATTTGATTAAATATAAGATATTTGTATTAAAGGTAATTATTAATCCAAAATGACTAAAAAATGTGTTTTATTTATTTTTCTCTTTCCAAACTTACTAATTGCAAAAAAATGACTTCAATGAGCTACAAGACTTTGACCCTTTCATTCATTAGAAGGTCAAAGCAGCCTGTTGGTTGGGTATTAAATCAAACGATGAGAAATAAATATGTTGCCAATAATATTTGTACAATTAAAAAGTAATATTTTCTATGTTAAATATATATGAGTAATATATATATATATATATATATATACATATATGCTTGATTGATTTTAAATTGTTTGATCTTAACCTCACACATTTGGGTTAAAGAAATGAACAACCCCGCAATACAATTCTATTATTTTAATATTTAATGAGTAGTGTTCAAGAAATATATAAATCATGTACTCCTGATAGAGGAGTAGTACTGCAAGTTTAGGATTAAAATCAAAATGTCCAACAACAGATAGAAATGGCATTGTTTTCCATATATCAAGGGGGAAAAAGTACTATACCGTTTACCCTGAAAAAATCAACAAAACATATTTAAAGCATTGCATGGTTTGATAACAAAAGCTACTGACACTGATTATTATCAAACTTTTTAAACTACATTATAAGTATTACTTATCACTTGGATATTTTCCGAAATTTCAGCAGGGATTTTACTGACGTTTTTATCTCTCGAGTCTGAAGAACATAAATAATTGGGTTACACATGGGAGGAACAATGGAAGTGAGAGACATGTTAATGATCCTGGAATTTGCAGTAATATTCCCAGCTGATGTAAAAGTGATTAACACTGGGACAAAATAGATGGCCACCAAAGACAGATGAGCTGTGCACGTCTTCAAGGCCTTCACTCTTTCTTTAGCTGAAGCTACTTTACTCAAAGCATAGCCAATACACAGGTAAGTAGCTAAGATAAAACACAAAGGGATCCAGAGAAACAAAGCTGCTGCCAACTTAGCAAAGGCCCATGAAGGTGTTTGGTCGTTACAGGCCTCACGATAAATCACTCCATGGTCACAGAAGTAACTGTTGACAAGTACAGTGTTAGAGTTACAGAAGGACAGTCTGGTTAAGAGGCCGACTGCTGTTAGATTAACAGTGATGACAAAGAGCCAAAAAGAAGTGATCAGTGAAAACATGAACCTGTTAGTCACCATCACTGGATAGTGCAGTGGAAAAGTGATAGCAATCAATCTGTCGTAGGACAGAGTCATCAGATTAAAGACCTCCAACGACAGATATAAGTAACAGAAGAAGAGAAACGTCAGACAGTCGTTGTAGGAGATGAGACGATGGTTAAACAGAAACAGGTCCAGAACCTTTGGTACCAGAACAGTGCTGCCAAACAGGTCTACAAAGGCCAGGTTAAAAACTGCAATATATTTAGGAGTTCTTAGACTACGATCCAAGTAGATCACAGTCATCACAACTGTATTTCCCAACACTGACACAATATACACAATACACAGAAAGACATAGTAATATATGACATTAGGTATTCCAATAAATCCACTGATGATAAAATATGCAGGTCGAGCAAAGGTGATGTTTTTACCAAGACCTGAGTTGAATAAGTCCATTGGTTTATTTGTTACTGTGAAGCTTCTGTGTCTGAAGCAGAGACTGATGTGGAGAACAGCTCTGTTCTGGAGACACAGGACTCTGTCTCCCTGTTGTTGTTCAAAGGACTGGACCACATCCTCACTATATGTCCGATAAGAGGGTGTGTGTTTTCGTGAGCTTGCGTGTGTCTGCTTGTGAGTGTGTGTGTGTGTGTGTGTGTGTGTGTGTGTGTGTGTGCGTGCGTGCAATACCTGGAATCTTAAAAACAGAAAAAAAATACTGTCATTACAACAGCCAATACAAATTTAATGTCGTACAAACAAAGCAAACACATTTTAGACTAGCTTTCAAACTGTCTGCATCAGTACTTTACACATCCTCTGTGAAGGATGTCAATAGTAGTAGTAGAAGCAGTAAATGTAAGAGATGTAGTTATCTGTTTTTTCAAAATAAGAACAAATTATATATGTTTTCCAAATTGCAGATGATCTTTTATTGGCTGCTTTTTGTTGAGTGTGCTTTGAAGTCTTTTATTAAGACGGACATAAGAAAATACTCAAGTCGTATTTATGACACAAAAACTTATTTTTATCCTGACAGAGATTTGATCTAACAGCTTCATACAGACTGTATGTGTTAATTTTTTTAAAGCAATAATCAAAATATTTAAATGTTTAACATTAATAATAATAATAAATCACTATGAAACCAGGTCACACCAGAATTGCTTAAAATACAGCATGAAATATAAAAGGTAATTTCTTTGTGTTGGAATGAAGCAAACCAGAAAATACAGGCACCACCAACCGACAAGAAAACGCACGGTCAGAAAAAGAATGTCATCTTTGATCAATCATTTTAATGAAAAGTTTAAGCACTAAAGTGACAAAGAATGTATATGACTTTGAATTGAAGTTCTGACAAATCTGGAAAACTCCAGAGTGTGAAAAGTGCACCGACAACAACAGCAACAACAATGCTTTCATATAGAAAACAGCAAATAAAACAAATGCAGAAAGGAAACAACCAGAACAGCAAGAAACCGCTGATCACATGGTTTTAGTAGAACAGATAGTTCACCCTCAACAGCTACAGTGGTATCAGAGTTAAAAGTGTAAAAGTAATTTATTCTTAACATACTACACATGAACAATAGAAGCATTATCTATTTTTTTGCATTAGATATGTGGTAAGACTTTTTGGACCAGTAATTATTCCAAAATATTTGCCATCGCGATAATACATATTACTTTGTATTTGCCTTCGTCAATTATTACAGAATAAGTCAACTTTGATCAAGGATGTATATTCATTTTTTAAAAGCCTTACATAGTTGTGTTGACATTTGTTCATTTTAGTTTCAGTTTTAGTTATTTGTAGAATATTCATAATCAGCTGGAAAATACTCTCCTTGCCATGACCAAGGGTTGTTTCCTTAACTTCAACAGTGATTTCACTGACTTTTTTATCTCTCGAGTCTGAAGAACATAAACGATTGGGTTCAACATGGGAGGAACAACAGAGGCCAGAGACATGTTAATGATCCTGGAGTTTACAGTGATACTCCCCAATGCTGTAAACGTGATTAACACTGGGACAAAATAGATGGCCACCAAAGACAGATGAGCTGTGCACGTCTTCAAGGCCTTCACTCTTTCTTTAGCTGAAGCTACTTTACTCAAAGCATAGCCAATACACAGGTAAGTAGCTAAGATAAAACACAAAGGGATCCAGAGAAACAAAGCTGCTGCCAACTTAGCAAAGGCCCATGAAGGTGTTTGGTCGTTACAGGCCTCACGATAAATCACTCCATGGTCACAGAAGTAACTGTTGACAAGTACAGTGTTAGAGTTACAGAAGGACAGTCTGGTTAAGAGGCCGACTGCTGTTAGATTAACAGTGATGACAAAGAGCCAAAAAGAAGTGATCAGTGAAAACATGAACCTGTTAGTCACCATCACTGGATAGTGCAGTGGAAAAGTGATAGCAATCAATCTGTCGTAGGACAGAGTCATCAGATTAAAGACCTCCAACGACAGATATAAGTAACAGAAGAAGAGAAACGTCAGACAGTCGTTGTAGGAGATGAGACGATGGTTAAACAGAAACAGGTCCAGAACCTTTGGTACCAGAACAGTGCTGCCAAACAGGTCTACAAAGGCCAGGTTAAAAACTGCAATATATTTAGGAGTTCTTAGACTACGATCCAAGTAGATCACAGTCATCACAACTGTATTTCCCAACACTGACACAATATACACAATACACAGAAAGACATAGTAATATATGACATTAGGTATTCCAATAAATCCACTGATGATAAAATATGCAGGTCGAGCAAAGGTGATGTTTTTACCAAGACCTGAGTTGAATAAGTCCATTGGTTTATTTGTTACTGTGAAGCTTCTGTGTCTGAAGCAGAGACTGATGTGGAGAACAGCTCTGTTCTGGAGACACAGGACTCTGTCTCTCTGTTGTTGTTCAAAGGACTGGACCACATCCTCACTATATGTCCGACAAGAGGGTGTGTGTTTTCGTGAGCTTGCGTGTGTCTGCTTGTGAGTGTGTGTGTGTGCAATACCTGGAATCTGCCAAACGAGCTGTCAAACTGTCTGCATCAGTACTTTACACATCCTCTGTGAAGGATGTCAATAGTAGTAGTAGAAGCAGTAAATGTAAGAGATGTATTTATGTGAGTAAAGTTAGTATTAAACAGGATTTAAATATTTTATGGACAATGATTTTGATAGAGTATTTGGTCAGAACAAACATGTCATCCTCTTTGTTTACAGTTATTTTATCTATCTCATTATCTATCTATTATGTTACAGTGATACACCAACAACAAACTGTTCAGTGGAAGTTAATGATGATTGTTCACTTCTTCGCCTGCATTATTTATAAATGAAAGTGATCAAAAATGTACATTTTCTGCCATTCTTTTTTAGCTTTCTACATTAGCAAACATACAGGTGCTGTTGTTAGTGTTCTGTTTGTGTGACTGCAAAATGTTTTTGAAAATACCGTCATGAAATGTTTTGGTCAATTTAGTTTTTAAAATATTCCTGGTTCTTTATTAAGCAATACTTAATAACAAACTGGTTAGTCTGAACAAAACATCTTTTTAGTTGTTAATAAAATCTAAAAAGTTTCTAAAGAAGGACATGACTACTTTGGTTAATTGTTGTTACAGTAAATAAAATACAAAACATAAAAATGACATTGTTGGATCCAATCACGTCAGAATCTTTTATAACTCATTATTTAAATAAAGAGGTTTAATTTGTAAGGATTGAAAACAGCGCAGTGAGACACACAGAAAATTTCACTGCGACGAAAAAGTACAAAACAGGAGTTTTCATTCAGATCAAAGTGACTAAGAAGTGTAGTGAAAACACAACAGTTGTCAATGCCATAACCAGGCGTCTATAACCATGAACAGTGAATAAGAAAATATTCTACTTTAACCAGATCTAGTTGTCTAAAAAAATACAAAAAATGCATTTAATCAAAACCAGTATTAATCATTTGTGTCACGGGGTTTTTTAATGTTGAACTCAGTAGATATTTTAGATATATTCCTATGAATGATTCATTGACACAAACACGGAATTTGATGAAAGTGCTTCTCCTTAAATTTATTGCAATACTCTAAAAGCAATGGTTATTTGCTCAATACTCTTCTGATGCCACCTTTGAATTGCCTTGTCTTGATCATCAGCAATGTCTTTACTGACTTTTTTATTTCTTGAGTCTGAAGAACATAAATAATTGGGTTCAACATGGGAGAAACAGCCGAGGCCAGAGACATGTTAATGATCCTGGAGTTTGGATGAATATATCTTCCTAAGGTGAAAGTAATCATTATTGGAACAAAGTAGATGGCCACCAAAGACAGATGAGCTGTGCACGTCTTCAAGGCCTTCGCTCTTTCTTTAGCTGAAGCTACTTTACTCAAAGCATAGCCAATACACAGGTAAGAAACTAGGATGAAACACAGAGGAAACCAGAGGAATAATGTTGATACCAAAAACCCATAGATATATGAAGGTGTTTGGTCGTTACAGGCCTCACGATAAATCACTCCATGGTCACAGAAGTAACTGTTGACAAGTACAGTGTTAGAGTTACAGAAGGACAGTCTGGTTAAGAGGCCGACTGCTGTTAGATTAACAGTGATGACAAAGAGCCAAAAAGAAGTGATCAGTGAAAACATGAACCTGTTAGTCACCATCACTGGATAGTGCAGTGGAAAAGTGATAGCAATCAATCTGTCGTAGGACAGAGTCATCAGATTAAAGACCTCCAACGACAGATATAAGTAACAGAAGAAGAGAAACGTCAGACAGTCGTTGTAGGAGATGAGACGATGGTTAAACAGAAACAGGTCCAGAACCTTTGGTACCAGAACAGTGCTGCCAAACAGGTCTACAAAGGCCAGGTTAAAAACTGCAATATATTTAGGAGTTCTTAGACTACGATCCAAGTAGATCACAGTCATCACAACTGTATTTCCCAACACTGACACAATATACACAATACACAGAAAGACATAGTAATATATGACATTAGGTATTCCAATAAATCCACTGATGATAAAATATGCAGGTCGAGCAAAGGTGATGTTTTTACCAAGACCTGAGTTGAATAAGTCCATTGGTTTATTTGTTACTGTGAAGCTTCTGTGTCTGAAGCAGAGACTGATGTGGAGAACAGCTCTGTTCTGGAGACACAGGACTCTGTCTCTCTGTTGTTGTTCAAAGGACTGGACCACATCCTCACTATATGTCCGATAAGAGGGTGTGTGTGTGTGTGTGTGTGTGTGTGTGTGCGTGAGTGTGTATCAGTTGTTTTGGTTTTTTTTACATCAAGTACAACTTTAACCTAACAAACAATCGGTAATAGCTCTCCGTTTTAAAAAAATTACGTGTAAAATGTATGAAATCGGAAATCGGAATTGAAAACGTGAACCATAACACAGACAGATTGAAATTAGTGCGGCCAGATGCACACAATCACACAAAACATACCAAACAAAACCGTTTTCTACAGAACAAAGTACTTAGTAAATATTATTGTCAAAAAATATTTTACACCAACAATGTCCACTTCATAAAAACACCAAAAGTACAAATTTGTTACATAATAAATCAAACCAAACTATTATTTATATTGCATATAATGTTTCTTTGCTTGTCAAAGTATGGAAGGCAGACCAATTAAATCCTCTTCTGCTAGGTGGCAGCATATGGCTATGAAAATCAGAGCTGTTGAAGATCATTGCGAGTGTCTTTCTTCAATCCCTGCCACTATATCAGCATTGTCTTCAACTAAACAGGCCGAGATTTTAGTCAATGATGAGGTCATTTAAACTAGAAGATTATTATATTTCATTACATTTCAGTGAGATTTTTGTCTGGTGGTGTGCTGTGGTGTTTTTCCTGATGATATACTGTATATGTGCCGTGACTCAAAAAAGGTTTGGAAACACTGGTCTACATATTAACATTAAGGTAAGTAACAAGACTTACTAGTAACCACTGTGAAACACCCAGGTTTAAACAAAAAGATTGTTTAAAACTATTAAATAAAGTCAATTACCTTTTAAAATATTATAATGATATGTTTTGTAAACTAAGTCAAATTTGCCTTACGTTGGCTTATTTTGGAATAAGTAAAAAAGGTGTGACCTCTGATGTGACCTCTACAATCAAATGACAGTGTTGCGCTGACCCCTGTTCTAACCCCTGTTTTTCACAGTCCTGATAAGGAAAAAGTGTTCAACTTCACTTTATTCCCTTGTTGAAGAGCTGAACTAACTCAGACTAATGAGGCTGTTAATGAGTTGTTTTGACGGAGCTGCCGTTCTGTCAGGATGATGACACTTACAGCACAACAACACAACTGTGAGGTAAACACTATGTCTCCCAAACTACAGGGAGCGATCAGGACAGCGACGAGGGAATAAGTTAGGTAAACTGGAAACAATTGTCAAGTTAGAAACTTTTGTTTTTTTTTTACATTTGGTATTAGAATTATGTTTATGGGTGAACTTTATTGATCCCACAATGAGGAAATTCACCAAGTGCATCATATAATGAGACATTAGTCTCACAGTGATGACCTCTAAAGTGAAGTCTCCAAGCTACTAATCATTAAATCTCTGCTGGGGGAGAGAAACTGCTGGGTTTTTATTCATCCAAATATATATATATATATATATGTATATGTATATATATATATATACATATATATATATATATATACATATACATATATATATATATATACATATACATATATGTATATATATATATATACATATATGTATATATATATATATACATATATGTATGTTTATATATATACACATATATGTATATATATATATATATACTGTGATTGTATCTTTATTTTATATAAATTACCAAATGCATAAATTGCTTATAGTCTTACTTAACTTTCATGGGTTGACCTGTTTACATTTAAATGTGTTTATCTTTCTAGCGACATTCCTCCATGTAAACTCACCACACAGTTAATGAAAGTTTTTAGTCTGGTGATGTGGAGATAGAATTGAACCTAAAGCTCCTATTTGTCATATCCTACCACCATGGCACCATCACACACACAGGTTTAATGATTACAAATAATAGTCTTAATTCCATTATTTAAAAATAAGAAATCGCTAATGACAGCAGACCATCCTTGCCTGTCTGACACCAGCAGGTCAAAGGTCAAAGATGTTATGATGCCTAACACATAAATGAACCCCAATAACCATCTAATATTTTTTATTCTAATACATGAATGTCAAACTCATGTTTGTGTTGGTTTTTTAATCTGAAAAACAGACCCTTTATTTAGTGCCAAATTCTTTGGATTCCTTTATCTCCTATTAATTTAATTTGCAGTATATGAGACAAAAATCAGAACCTTCTCCAGAGGCTATTAGCTGGGGTATTATCCTGAGGGCTGGAGAAATAAGACAGCACGCCGTATTAATCAAATTAGCTCACAGGGAGGCGTTCACATGTTCCCACAGAGACATCGCCTCATAAAAGAATAATGGAGGAAAAAGAAAATAATATACCAAGATGCCTTCAGGTGTCTTTGGCCTAAAGGGAAAAGGTAATTACACAGGCCAGCTGCTGTTCTACTGAACACACACTGATTATCCTCTGGAGGAAAATTTAATCAGGTCCATGTGTAAATGCCACAACGTACACATTTGGTAAATACGAGGACTGCTGATCAGATTAATCACAGGGTGGCTGTGGATTAATCATGATTAATGACAATGGGAATTTATCCCAATTAATCATAATCATTTTAAATTGCCTTTCCTAAACATATAAAAAGAAAATGTTGCTGTATATTGCTGGAACAGTAGGCAGTAGTTAACAGTGGGCAGATATTGCATATAAATGCATTAAAATGTTTGGTCTGATTAATCGGTACAAATTAAACAAATAAACAAGATTAACCTGTTAATCATTTGACAATAATTTACAATGGCAAGTTCATTTTTTATCAATCGCAGGATGGTTGGTTATTTAGGTCAAACTATAGTAGGTACCATTGACATTTCCATCACTGCTCATTTTCATTCTGCACTTAACTCATTTCCTGTCAGCTGGTGTTTAGTCTATGGGAGGAAACTAGAAAATCTTTAAGAAACCAGTAACAAACTGGGAGAACATTAAAAAATGCCATATGTGTGGACTGGGTGGGACCATACGGATGTAAGGCAACATCACTAACCACTTACACACGTAAGTTGTAAATCTGCCAGCTAATTGTTAAGAATAAGGGACAATTAATACAGACTCAGACACGCAACAATAGCTGGAAAATATTACCAATATTATGTTTAGATTAAGAATTTAAAGTTTAGATTAAGAATTTAATTCAAAAGACAAAAAACTTTAATATAGTAGAAAGATAATATTTGGATTTTTTATATATACAGTATGTATATATATAAAAAACTTTCCAAGATAATATTTGGATTTTTTATATATATGTATATATATAAAAAACTTTCTAAAGCAAATGATTGTTTCAGTGTAGCTTGCTATGGATTATTAAAGTTTATCTTGACATTTTGACATAAACTTCAAAGTTGGATTGTTTTTTCCACAGAACAAACGTGCGTCAGTCCTCGGAGAAGACTACCCAGGAGAATCCAGACACTGTGCCACTGTGTGTCCCCAAGACAGACAGAGACACAGAGGCAGTAAGGCCAACAGAGAGAGACAAAGAGAGGGGGAGGGGGGTGGGGTTTCTTTTGCCCCATTGTTTTTCAGGAGATTACGCTGTCATGAAACGTGACTAAATGGTCCTGAGAGTGCTGGAGCTCACGTTACACCGAGACACAAACACAAATATTTATCAAATTGTTATCGGATATAATTGCTCTCGTAACTGTTCTCTATGAAACTTGTGGTGGCAGTCAGTTACACTAACAAAAATAAATAAATAACGGTCTATACTGAGAGCTTTTAATAAACATTATGTTTCTGTTTCCTGGCCATTGAAAGTAGAGTTCATAGTAGAGTTCATATACATGTCAATAAAAAAGAAAAATTCCCTTTTCATAGGTTATATGGTGGTTTACAGTATTATGGTTTATTGGCAGTGTAATAGTTACATTTTCCTATTTTTCCCCATTGTATTGTAAATGTACAGTAGATTCCATTGCAGAAATATTTAACTGTAAAAGATATAGCCAGTAGGAGGCAGTAATTCAATTAAAAAATAATGCATTTATGTTTGAAATGGCCTTTATTGGTATTCTGGATGAATGGATATATATTTCCATCTGTCAGACTGTAAAGTCATATAGTGAGATATTGATTAAATTATTTTATCAAGGTTAGAAACAGAAAACAAACAGCACATGTTTCTTTTCTTCGTTTTTCATGTGTATCTAGTGACTGGAAAAAGATTCATGACCAGAGTTTTTTCCCCCTCCTTTTTATGAACGACTAAAAGGAAACTAAATATTCACAGTGTTGTTCCTCATGATTTCACAGCCAGTTATGCTTTTTGGCACGGGGCAATTCTCTAGTGGCAGATCGATTTTTGCCTAATATATATAAAAAAAAACTTGGCTGCAAGTGAACCAGTTTATTACATACTGTAAACTGTGTTCAGTCTGTGGCCAAAGAAGTAACACGGTGGTGTCAAGGAGTGGTTTTAATCACAGATAAAATGTGATTCAAGTGTTTTAATAGTAAATGCTATGTTTTGTTAACGACATACTTGATTATTTCAATTTGTCTTTCTTACAAACAAGTATAGTTCAAATATATCAGAAATAGATCATAGATCATATAAACAGGCCTGTCAAAATCCAAGCATTAAGCACAAGAGTATATGCAATATTTAATTTAGTTAATTTATATAAATCATGTTTTGAAAGTCACCATCAAGATGCGCAGTGATAATTTAAATCCACCAACTAAATTTTGCAATTCGCAAAGTTTTGTTTCTTCTAGGAATATTCAAACATTTGAATTAATCATGACTATTGTAATCAATCACAGGGTTTTAATGGTTTGAAAGCTCTAGTACTGTATTTATAATGGGTACAGAAAGACATCAGTCAAAGTATATGATGACCCTCTATTATGGTCAGGCGTATGATTGGCCAATCACACTGCATGCATAGACACATTGAGTCCCTTTCAGCTTGTTCCTTTACCTGACGTCACCATAGTGATTCAGCATATATTTTACACCACATGCAACAACTTGAAATTAGGGACTATGAGGAATCAAACCTGCAACCTTCTGCCCTAAACCATTGCAGCCAAACAGCTGTCTGTAAGGCTGTTAAAAAGTTTCGTGGCACAGGTCATACACTATTGCAAAACTGGGCACAGCAGTAAGACGAGGGGAAGATCTCAAAGCCATGCTGCTAAAACATTACATTATCTCAGGCAAACAAACAGTCTTCAAACACAGAAAAATAATGCCATTTTGACTCACCAGCCCCAAGCACTTGCTGCCATCTTCTGCCCCTTGGTTAGTTGTTGAGTCTCTTGGTCATGGCTGTCTTCTCTGGACTGTTGACAGACGTAGCTAGCTTCTGCTAGCTTAGACCTGGTGCCATTTGAGCCTTTAGTTTTTGTTTGTTTTTTAAGACAAGTTACTTTGAAGTTTTGTTGTTTTTATTTCAACTTGAGTCTACTGAGAAATGTTTCTTTCCTCTAACAACATGTTACTTGGTCCTTGGTTCTTCTGTGGTGTAGGGCCTATGACTTGGTCCTTGGTTCTTCTGTGGTGTAGGGTCTATGACTCTTGGTCATAGGCCCTGGTAGCAGATTTTGACACTTCCTGTCCAAGTTCAAACCTCCTACAAAGCTGTTTCAAATTAGTTTGACTACTGTCAGTTAACCTTCACGTGGTTGCTACAAACAATAGCATAGCATACAATCATCTTTACATCTTTACACAAAATATTTCCGCTTATTCAACCAAACTGCACTATAGAGATTATTATTATCAATATTGTCCTTTTTTAAAGCCTTTAACTATTACAAATGACATCAATATTGTCAAATTAATTCAGAGACAATACGTCGTTCAACTGTTGCTATTTCAGTCAATGGCCAGAAGATGGCGAGAGCATCCTGCCATATCACATAAAGAAACGCCGTTATTCGACGTTGTTCTGTTCACGTTTTTCTCCATCTGCGCAATTTTAAAACAAAATCATTTACTCACGCGAGAGTAATTAAAAACAGCCTCATTAATTAGTTATTGTGATCAGTTTAACACCGTCTTTTTACAGTTCTTTATATGTTTTGACTCAACACAGATTAATACAGTGAAACAACATGTTTCTATTTGCTTGTTCATGCATATGTAAATGTAATGCAAGGCCAGAATGATGTAAGAGTGATTAGTGTTTTTGCCTTACAGCAAGAACATCATGGGTTTGATCCCCTGTGGTAAGTGATGACTTTTCTGTATGGCGTTTGCATGTTCAACCAATGTGTACCTCCTCTGAATCAATGCAGAATCAGGATACCGATGGACTGGTACACTGACCGGAGTGTACCCCACCCTCACCCAGTCACTGCCGACATTGACCCCAGCCCCCTCCCATCACTATGAAGGACCGAAGGGTAGAAAATGAATAAATGAATGTAAAACCAAAGAAGAATAGTTGTATTCATGCTGAGTATATGGGCCATATTACAGTGGCTGTATAGTGGACACGGCGTGGCTGCAGGAAGGAGGAAGAGGAGGGTCAAACGCTACACAAGGCTTTAGTGAAGAGCAGAACAAGCAGGCTGTTTTATTCCTCTCTTATATTGCACTAACCACAGCATCTCTGCACCGACACAGTGTGAGGCAGGACGCTCTTGTTGGGCGCAGCGTCTGCACGACGGCAGACTGACTGCACTCTGTTTTATTTTTCATAGTCTTAAATGTGTAGGTTGTGTTTAATCCAAAGGATGGAATCATTATTCAAAATAAGATACTTAGCGTCATAGTTTTGGTGGATATTTATCCAGTCGTTGCAGTGGATGTTGACATGTCTAGAGTTGCAAATCTTGAAGTGAAATCCTCCATAATTCTGTCCATACCTCAACATTTAATCTGATTATATACATAGCGTATTGCAATGTAGTGGTAAGATGTGATAAACCGAGGAGCTCACTATTAAAAAGAAATTGCTTCTTTATTAGAAATTATATGGCCTGACTTTTCCATTAGCATCAACAGTTTGAGCCACACCAGCATAAGCGCTGCATTTGGATATTTTCTCGCTCGCAGGTCGTAAAATGAAAGCACAAGTCACAGCTTTATTTCTGTGAAACACTGTAGTTAAATCTATGCAAATGGTTAATGTTTACTCGCACAGATACCATACTGTACTTCCACCAATGAACAGTCAGCAACGTAGGTATAACACAGAGCTGTTTTATAAGAGAATGACTCAGGACAAAATGGCAGTGCACTTCAATAACCTTTATTTAGATTACAGATGTATTCCATTTTGGAGTTGGAAGGAGGGATAGGGAGCATTAGTGCTATTTACAATAGGTTTGAAAACATTTATCTCTGTACAGATTTGAACCCTGATCAATATAAACAATATTTTTTTAAGACCTAGTGCTGTTACAAAGCGATTCTCTTGAAGCAAAAAAGAAGAAGAAGAAGAAGAAAGATTACATTAAATAACAAACGAATGAAAACCACAAAAAGAAAAGAATGTAAAAATACAGTCAGTCGGGTTAATAGAGAGATTTTGCTGCTGTTAAAGCACAAGACGTTGTCAGCGAGTGACTGTGGCCTGGCTAAAGACTAACCGCTCGCCACAGCCGTAGACTAAACACCAATATACTGCATATCAACAAGGTCTAGAGTCGTCATCCTCTATATAAGATTCTTATTAAATATATTCTACACGTTACTGTAGTTTGGAACATTCCATTGGAAAAATATAAAATAAAACCATAAAACATTTTATACACTTTTTTAATTAATTTGATGAAGGAGCACATGCTTCAACTGTGCAAAATGGATTCGTTAATGCAAAGAGCGGATTAGGGAGAAAGACGAGGAGCAAAATTAAGACAAATAAGGAGCGTTCCGAGTTTTCATTTTTCTCCTGCTGCTGTCGCAGAGATCCTTCACAACACTGTTAAAAACAGGA